CTGTCTGTTTGTCTGTCTGTCCTGCCGTCTGTTTCTCTCTATGCCATTTGGCTTCTCTGCCTTGGATTGAGAACATAGGAGCTCTTCCTCACAACCAGCAAACAATGTTTATGTGTGTGCTGTGTGTTTTTAGAAGACAACTCTAAAAAAGAACTCCTCAGAGGGGTGTCAGATGGCAGGCGTTTGTGTTGGGTGTGTGGATGGGGGATGGAGAGATGGTGGGGGCGGATGAAGGAAGGGATAGAGGGAAACAGGAGGAGTGGGGGGGGGGGATTTTTNNGGGGGGGGGGGGGGGATTGTTCTGTGCTCTTCAGCTTTTGTTCTCCTAGATAATAACTCTCCACCCCCTGACTCCAAAAACCAAGGGATCCCCTCCAGTCTGGAAAAAAGGAGTAACTTCCAAGCTTATACTGTGGTTATGACACCTCCTTCTAAGTGCTGTTAAATCAATTTGATTGTCTCGAAGCCTGATTATATACAAGCTTGCAAGATGATTCACTCTAAATTTTTGACAGTTGGTACTGCAACTGTGTCAGATTTCTCATAGTCAATTATAAATGCCCTATGTTGCCCTAAAAAACCCAACATGCTTTTAATTTGGGCCAAAACTGAGCAGGGGGAAAATATAGAGGCAAATCACTGCCAACAGCCTGCAGGCCAGTTGAGTGTCTTGGCCTAATCTGCCAGGACCGATGAAGAAAACTGAAATCTGAGCAAGAGAAGACTCCACATCCACATAGGTGAGCTACAATGCAGGTAGTGACACGATAATCACAATCTCCGCTCTCGAATTTCTTTTAAAACATCAACACTAAATATGGGAAGGCAAACATTTACAGAGGAACTAAGAGGAAGTCAAAGGCATTGAATAATACAGTGAAAACACTGTTCTATTTGCTGTGACCTGGTTCAGTAGAGCAGCATCTGCAACCCACATGAAATCTAAAAATACTCCCGCACCATTGACTGCTACTATGCCGTGGCCTCAGTAGGTAGATGAATAACTGTGTGTGTATGGTATGCTTGTGTGCATGAGTTAAAGTGGGTATGGGGTATGGGCTGTGCACTGTGGTTTGCCGCTGCCTCATTTACAAGCCTACCGCAGATATGCTAATAAAACCTTTTTTCAAATATTTTGCAAACTGTGTGTGTGTGTGTGTGAGTGACCGGTGGGCCACACTCAAAGAGAGGCACAAATTGCTGTAAATCCAGTATATTAATGGCATATGACTACTGTAAATGTAATTATAACATACTTAGACAATACTCCCATCACAATGTGTTTTCCATTAATGGATACAATAGAATAGCTTTCTGCTATTTGAACATAGAGAGGTTGTTCAAAAGTGACCTGATTGGACCATCAGTACATGGAGAGCTATTCAGGTCCAGACTGCATTTTACAGTGTGGATTTCTTTCTGAACACCCAGCAATGCCAATTTCTGCACAAATTTCATTCACCACTTATAAATCTGCAACTTCATACAGGAGAGCTGATATTTTCCAAAAAGTGTTACAGTATAGGTAATGAGATTTTGACATAAAAACAAAAAAGAAAATGTGCGGCTGGCTGTGACAGTGTAGTATAATAAGTGCTAGATTATGTTGTTCTGTATGTGTCCATGTGTTATAAGATTATGAGTTTGTGAATGTGAGTATTACAGTAGTCAGTAGTCTGTAATGCTATTGAAAAGAAGGCCGTGGCAGTCCTTTCTGTCATGTTAATGACAGATGTGTGACAGATGTTGCTAATGTCACAGTAAACACTGCCTTCATATATCTGTCATTGGTATTATGTGCAGCATTTATGCCCAAACGTATAAAAAAAAGTCAAAGTATCCCCAGATCCAAATTTGAATGATTTTTAATGTTTTTGTCTCAGATTTGCTACAAATGTTCATTTGCTGGTTAAGCTTCATTTATTCAGGAAGACTGATTGAGATTAAGATCTCTTTTACATGGGGCGGATGCTTTGCTTCTCAGATACTGAACAAAGGTTACACACAAATGTTTTTCCAAAATGAATGTATGTTATGTAATCTTCATCTGAGATCTGCACATGTTAAAATGTAGTACTTTGCCTGTAGACTTTGCATAGGATACCTTACATAAGCAGGGATATAGCTGCTTACTCATCTGTCAGGTACTGGAATTTACAGTAGTCTAATTTCACTTACTACACTGTGTGTAATTGTGTAATCTTATCGTTTTGTCATAGATAGCCTATACTGATAAGATTCTTGCACATAACGAAACAACTAATAATCTGACAGTAGTCATTTAGTCCAATGGCCTAACAATGTTATGATCTGATTTCATAATATAAGCTATACCAGATTACTATTTACTATTTATTAGTTATTGACACGTGTGAGTGTATGATACATACACACACCTCGAGAGATAAACAGAGGGAGCGATCTATAATATTATATTATATATCTTGAACCGATCTGGGTTTTTTTTCTGTCTTTCTCCCCCCCTCACCCCCCCTGCACCGTTGCACCGCTCACCGTACAGGTGCGAGCGAGCAGCGGCTCGAGACGCTCCGCCAATTAGGAGCACCGAGCGTGACCACGTGAACAAATCCCGTTGTCTAAATTCCCGTTCAGCGGAGAGCAGCTCGGAGTGAGCGGCGGCACTGAAAGCCACATTGAGTGGGAAGTAATAACGGCAGGCTGAACCGGAGCGGTGTGCAGGTAAATTGCTTTTCTTCCCCCACGGCTATACACTTTTTCCTGCCCTCATCCTCTCGCCGGCTGTGGCGGGATAGTGTGCGGTTCAGGCGCGGGGCTCTGGGACAGGATGTTTTGGATTAAATTCGCTGTCGCTTGCGGGTGAGTCTCTGCTCTCCTCCTCCTCCGGACAGGACAAACAGCATCATCGGCTGGTTGCTCTGCACCGTCTGCGCATTGAAACTCAACCACCTTCTCTCTCCCTGTCTCTCTCTCCCTGTCTCTCTCTCTCTCTCTCCCCCCCGCGTCTCTCGCAGGCACGTGAGGCTATTGATAGTTGACAGAAGCCTTGTAATCCCTGACTGATCTGGCTGAACGGCCACAGCCATTTGCGAAACAAGAATGTTGATTGAACTTTATTTCGCTTGGAGATTTGTTTTAATTGGTAACGCCCGCATAGATTGACGCCGTGGCGAGCGTGAGGAGGAGGAGGAGGAGGAGGAAGGGGGGAGAGTGTGAGAGGCTTTCTCTTGGTGCTGCACGCAACCAGGCAAGCAGAGGCAAGCTTTTATAGCTGAATTATTTATAAGACTGTCTGGGAGAGAGTAATGCTCCTCTTGGATGGAGAGGGAGTCGCGGTCAAGATATACAGGCTATTTCTCCTCATTTTTACTTGATGAAACCGACCACATGTTTCTTTTTCTTTTCTTTTTTACTTTGTCCAGTTTGAGTTACAATAAACGGCACTGTGTTCCCCTTTTTATTGTTTTAGTACAGAAGTAAAACTAAGTTCCGACACAGTCAGTCTATAAAAATCAATTCAACCAACCAAGGTAATTATTTTTGTAAGAATGTCATTTTCAGTAATCGAGCATTTAAGTCCTTACTGTAAGTCGTGTATCAATATTCGTATTATTTATATCACAGCTATCTGAAGACCTCCCCGTGGATACTGGGAACTTGTTATGGACATCGTTCACTATTTTCTGACATATTATAGCCTTGATTTAACAGTTGAATCAATTAATCATAGACACTTTGGACAGGGAAAACTGATGGTAAAAATAATCAATAGTTGTAGTCCTAAATTAATTAAATCAGCATTAGGTTCTAGTCTTTATCATTTGGGCTTGGGTTGTTTTATTCCGCTGTCACTTTGTCTGTTTGTCTCAAATGCTTCCTCGGAAACATAAATATATAAATAAATAAACAGATAAATAAATAAACGCAGCGCATTTTCCCCTGCTGTTTCTCCCTTATTTTTTATTTAATTTAATTTTTTACAGCCCTACTCCACGGGAATGAATAGACCCAGTCTGCGCCTGCGCACTCCTACCAACTGCCATCTGTAGGGATCTCTCCCTGGTTCTCTTGTCTCGTGCGAGAGAAGGGAACCAGCAGGCGGCTCCGGGCTCGCGCTCGCTGCCCGGTTGTCAAGGCGGCAGTGTGTGACTTGTCCTCGCGGCGGCCGCACGGTGACAGCTCACAGCGGCTCTCTCGTTTGTCGGACTGGACTCGGATTTTTTTTTGTTTGCCTCTTTGGATTTGGACATTTTGGTGGCAGTGGCGGACTCTCTTCGGCTTATTTTCTTAAACCGTGAGTTGGTTGATATTTTTTCTTTCTAGCTTACGTTTTATATTTAACATACATTGTTCAAGCGCTGTCATCCCGTGAGAGAAAACCCTGCTCTGCGGAGCTTTGGATAATTTCGTTTTTTAATTTCTCGCTTGCTGTTGGTCCGCAGAGGTTCGGAACTTCACCTACCGGTACTTTTATCTCTTTTCTCTCTTTCTCCAATGTATCGTCTGTTTTATTTTTAATCCTTCCTTACTTTCGCTTTTTTTTTTCTCTCTCTCGTGGCAAAAGCAAAAAGAGGAACTTTACACGTGATGAAACGTTTTAACTGTCCTCGTGTTGCGACTCCGCAGTGTTTTGACTCAGTTTGCGGAAGAAACCGGCGTCAAAACCGAATTATCTACTGAAGAATAAACCATGAGCGCGGTTTGACTGTAGCTCATCTTTTATAGCAGGTGTCGGCTTACTTCCGCACTGTGCTGAGAGAGATATTGATCTCATGTAAACCCCATTGAGTGTCTTTCTCCCACTCTTGCTTCGGTTACTGGAGCTCCTGCTGGTTGAGGTGTCCCTGTTGTTTATTTGGTGGTGTCTGTCACCTTATATTTGTTTGTGTTTCTTTTCCCCCTTTTTTCACCTTCTCCCCTACTGTTTTAGGGAACCAAAAGTAAATTTACTGAAGCGTTTCATCGTTGCGGTTATTTCCTCACAGTGCTTTCTCTGTTGTGCTGTGTGTGTGTGTGTGTCAGGTGCATGGCGGTGAATAGAAGGAAATGCTGAACTGCTGTCTCTTCTTGCTGAACCAGCTCGTTGGCATACCTGATCCTGTCGGACTAATCATAAACTAACACCGTATTTCTCCACAACAC